AGTCTCCATCCTCCGTATCCTCGAGGACGGTATCCTGTATTTCATCGATATCACCACCTCCAAACAAACTTAAGGCATCTGCCTCACTTGCATCATGGTGATGCTGTGTATTTGCTTTCTCTGAAGCATTGTTTTCATCCTCGTCTGAGGACGTTGCGTTGGCTTTCTGTAAAGCCGTGTAAGATTCCCTTCGTTTGGATGTTTTTGTTTCATTGTCAGGAGATGACGGTTTGTGGCTTACTAGCTCTTGAAGCAAGCTGTTTCCCGAATCGATGCTAGCTTTCATACTATTTAGCACAGCGATGAGAGTGCTAGACTCTTGCTCACGTTGCTTTTCCGTGGTACTATCTTCGTTGTCTGTGTCGGCCCTTTCCCTTTGAAAGAAAACAGAAAAACGCGGGAAAACACAAAGTGGCACAAAACCGCTTCAGATCCCTGGAATTCAGGCAAAATAACAGGGAAATTCAGACGGTATAAAGACCCAACAAACAGAATGAAAAAACTTAGAAAACCGCGAATGGTTTTCTTCACTGGCGTAGTCGTAGCTAAGTTTGTTTCCAGGGCCTGCTTGGCGGGGAGTACACAGACCTTGGGAACGTCTTTCTACGGGCACTTTTCTTAGTCTTACCCGCGGGTAACGGGTCGAGTACAGAGCGGGACGGAAAGTATTTTCTTGAAAGACTATAACTTTCCAAATATCAGATCATTGGTAGGGTGCATCTTATTAAGACTGTGGCTTTTCAGTTGAACGAGGTCGCAGTCGAGTGAATATTTATTCAGAACTGTCTGGTCAATATTTAACTCTTCTTTTATTATTATTTTTTTATTATGTTTTCACGTAATAGCTTTTTGAACAAGTATAATACCATAAGTATAAATTATTTGCTTGCACGAACATCGTAAGAAAACAAAACATGGCATGTTTAACTGGATATCATATCAGACTTCAGATTTACTACAGTATTTCTCGTCTCTTTATAGCACAATATTTATTGCACCATCTCATTTTATTTGGCAAGTTAGTGCGTGACATCGCTGTGATTTCTTGGGTTGGGTTGTTCGAAAGCCGGTTAACGCTAACCTAGGATTAAAGGTTATCCGAAGTGAAAGATTTTCTTTTTTTTTTTAATCGTAAATTAATTACATACAATACTAACAATACTAACATTACCTACAGTACTTACATTACTTACAATACGAATATCACTTACACGGTTGCTGACATTACTTCCAATACACCCGTTACTTACGCTACTACTACTACTCACAATACTATCGCAACTTGCACTACTGATATTATTCACAATACCGTAGCTTACAATACTCATTATACGTATGCTTGACATTTATTACATATAAAATTAATAGTATGCTATATACAAGAATCTAAAAGCTCACGGATGCTCGAACGCTTAGTGACTCCGTGGATAGTTTGCTTTTTAGCAATACTTTGAACGCTGTTATGCTGTAGGATTCACTTTCTTTGGCTGCAGTATAGATGTAGTAACGGGCTACTATCAGGCAAAGGTTGACAGCGCGGAAAGATAGCTTCTCGGGGTGATGTGCATATATTTTAGCTTTGTTCGTCAGAGCTACCTTGGGCAAGTTACAAGAGTTCCACCAAGAGGCAAGAAGGTTCCAGAAAGAATGGACGTGCCGACATTCTACGAACAGATACTCTAGGGNCCCGGCGATAACGCCTCGTAACAAAGAGTAACTTTGCTAATAGGTCGTTTTCAAAAGAACATTAAATTAACATCCCAAGAAATCATAAAACATTTTGTACTGACGCTCAGGCGATTTCCGAAAATGCTTCCCCCGATCGCCTTCAATACGACCTGAACCACTGACTTCTAACAGATCGAACGTTGTGAACATTTTAGCAAGCAAGCTACATCATGACTCGACCAGCTGTTGGCATCATGTAACGCCAAAAACAGCAGCGCGCGGGGCATTTGCTCTCTCTACAACTCTCTATATAAAATAAAATGGTTGCTGTTGTTGTTGTTGTTGTTGTTGTTGTTCCTGTGTGTAAATTTGCCCTGGGGGCTTGGCTATAAAAATGTGGAAGAAATCTCTAGAGTGGTGCAGTGTCACTGAAAAGACGACTGGCCGAAATTGTGGTTTCTAAGGAAAACACGCCTACAGATCTACCAAAAGAGTGGGTAACTAGCAAAGGGAGGTAAGTGCGGAAGGGGAGGGGGGAGGGGGTGGAGAATTTGTGTCAAGATATGATCCTGATGCGAGAGAATTTTAACAAAATTCACATTACCTCACATACTTACACACTTTATTTATTTATGCCTCTTGCTCACTTAACCTATCCATACTATATCACATTGCCTTGGCTGAGCTCTGTTTGCTGGAGTTAACTATAATAGTTGAGATCATGATTTGCCATATTTTGGCCACCTTCATGGCCGTTTATTTCATAACAACTAAACCAAATTACCTAAAATCTGAGACCCAAATTTATTTCCAGCAAAGGTGAGGGTAAACCCGCCAAAGCACTTTCCGCACCAAAGAGAGAAAACCGTTTCCTTCGTGGAGCTGAAGAAAAAGAGGCCTGTAGTTTGTCCTATGCCTCTCATGTATGCCCTGAATTGGAGCCCCGTATGTAAACTGATTCTAGTTAGTAAAAAATTAACCAGCGTTGCCAGGCGCATAAAATCATTTATTCCTCTAAGTAATAAATTTCCTTTATTTACTTAATTACAGTCTTGTTCAGATTAGGTTACAATCTTTTAAATAAACATATATAGAAAAGTCCCTTTAGCTATCACAGATTATCAATAACATAAAGACTATCAAAATGTTCGGTGTGTAGCCAGGCATGTTAAAAATTGGTAAAAAAGGAATTAAATGGTTGTCACTGGCTAAAAATATGGTTATCGGACGTTTCGGCCACTACTGTTGCCTTCTTCAGCAAAAGATGGAAAACTATCAACTATTAAATAAAATTAATAAAGAAAAAAAGACAATTCCCTTGATAATTTGCTATAACAATTCCTGGTACTATTTCACCTATTTCTTTTATGACTAGGTGTCACATAAAACCATAATAATCTCTACGATGTTTTTTTGTTGCATTAGTGCCTTTCTTCTTAAGGGCGTCCTTTTTGGTTTTGGCTCTCATGTGGAAACATCAACCTTGGCCAGGTTGTTCGAAAGTCGGTTAACGGTAACCCAGGATTAAAAGTTATCCGAAATATTAATATTTCCTGTATAAAAATGTTTCTTACTGCTCACGTTTTGTGTAGTTTAAGCTTAGTCAAGCTCAAAACTGAAGGACAAACATTATAAACAGAAAACCTCGTTGAAAAGTTACAAAACTGAAATCAAAATTCTTGCTAATCCTGGGTTAGCTTAATCGAGCTTGAACAACCAGGCCCAGTCCCTGAAGTCTCCTACGCGACCTAATGAAAGAAAAATTGTCGCGAACTGCGCTCAAATCTTAATGAACTAAGCCCACTAAGACCACGAAAGCGGGAATGGTGCGAGACAACTCTTAGAAAATTAACCCTTACCACATACGACTAACCGAAAAGGAAAAATGCACTATCAACTGCTTACCCTAGTAGATGGCGTATAAATCCGCGAGTGACTTATACTTTAGCGAGTATGCAAATAATTAGGTTTTCATTCATCTTGAATTACGTGCTCTTCAGGTAGTGTAATGATTAATGCTTTGGTAGCTTTTGGTCATTAGTTTTTAGCAAACAAAGTACGTTAAGCTTTTTTGGAAGGTCGTCAGTATGGTTTTTCCCGTGATCATGATTTAAAGGAAAAATTAGCGCGTTCAGAGCATGCGCATGCAAGCTATCCTGGACTCTCTGTTCGCCCGCCTGGGCGACCCCTATACAGGACGGGAAGAAAAGAGAATTAAGGGACTAGAATATCACGTGCCATGATGTCTATGCCGAAGAAACTGGTAGGCCATGGAGCACTCAAGACTCGAGTTAGCTTTGTTGGTGGTTTCTGTAATAGTTTTTTTTTTTTTACAGGAGAGGGTTATCAGCCCTTAGCCCGACCTCCAACCCGGAGACTCAGGGTTTTCCCGTTTACGGTTTCCTTCCCTTAGACGAATGCAGCGTCAGTGTTTATAAGCTCCATCATGACCCAGGTTTAATGTGAGTTTTTGTCTCGACCTTTTGAGGAGGCCCATGTTCACCTTTAGATGGCCACGTCTTAAGGTAATATGTAGAACTTTTGCTTGGGAATGTCGGTGCCACCCAACTCTTCTCTCCTCCCTGATACGACCACAGTCTTATGGTCCCCCGGGGGGATACTCCTAGAAAAGTTGGGTGAGGGTGTGCGGCCCACTTCCCAAAACCCTTACCTTATTTATGACCAAAATCTGCGATTTTCGCTACCGTATTTATGACCTGGCCAAAAATTCGATACCCTATTTATGACTGTTGCGGCTGGCACAGTTGCCCTGAACATAAGTTATGAAGGGCTTTTATGGACGGTCTTATTAATAATGATGAAAAAGTAGCTTCATCTAAGAAATATACTCAATTCAAGACTAGAGTGCTAAAACCATACCCTATTTAAGACCAAAATGGCCAAAATCGATAATTTATTTATGACCAGAACGGCTGAAAAACCCTACTCTTTGGGGCCGCACATACCTATATAGCCTATATAAGGGAGTACGGCTATTTATTGGACATGTGCCTTATTCGCCGGCTTGCCCATATCCGGCCATCTATGCACCCGTAGGGAATGGACATCCCGCACGAGGCTATACCAACACACAAGCGCAAAAATAACGTTAGAATACAAACAAAAAGAAAAAGCTGTCATCCTCAATCTGTACAAAATGCATCTATGAAACTGCACTGGTGTACAACAGTGACTCGCTAATCACCAGATCTCATACAACATTAAGGGAATCCAAAGCTTTGTCTATCAAGCTATACCTATAGATTTCTATTCTCTCTCATTCTAAACTGGAATGATCAGTAAGCCGGCCGAATTGCTCTACGGGTATCAAAAAAATCGAATTCGTACTGACACTTGCCTGTCACTGCCTAGCATGTATGTTTAACAAATTGAATGTTGTTTAGCGTGGTCTGTACTCTTATCGACAACGATACGCGTCATCGCAGTGGTCAAAATATTGTGGACTCACGAGGCGCAGCTGAGTGAGTCCACAACAAATCTTGACCACTGTGATGACGCCTATCGTTGTCGATAAGAGTAGACCACGCTAAACCACATTTCGATTTGTTTTTTACCACAATATCAAGGTCAAAGAAAATGTTGTTTTCAGAGGGCGAGCTGCATAAGGCATTGCGCGACACATTGACGCGAGCAGCATGGTCTGGACTCTTATCGACAACGGCAAATTAGCCAATCAGATTGCGAGATTAGCAACAATTGTGGTTAAAAACTGTTCTCATGTCGTATTTGTGAAATACTTTCTATTATCATGACCCGGCCTCACGCGCTATTTTCTTGGAAAACTGATAAGAAAAAAGGTCCTGTATCAGGAGCGTACGCGTCGAAACGATAGGGCGGGTAAAACTCGTGCGGCCCTACTAGAAACACGCGCGGCCTCTCCAAATTAATACGAGTTAAAAATTAATGACAGAAAGACTTTTGTTTCTACAAAATTTTGATTTATTTTATACTAAGTGATGAAAGTGAACATTCCAAATTTTACTATCCTGGCGAACTATCCAATGAAGAACTACTTCAGCCGCGCACTTATTCCGAAGGTATAGAAAGAAAGTCAAACACGCCTCTCAAATGAAGAGCAAAAAAATGGTCACATCAGTGACAATATGCTTATTGACTAAGTGAAGTTGGGCCGGACAGTAACATAATTTGCTCCGGTCCACGGCTATTTTACATAACTTCCTCTAACATAATTTCCTCTAGATCCATGTTAGCTCGGTTAGGAAGCACAGACCTTGCAGCGCTTGGTTTGCACGTTCCGACCTCTCGCCAAATATTTTCCCTTCCGCCAATCTCCACTCAGTCAGTAAGTACATATTACCTACCCCCCTACCTGCCTGCCTAGTTAGTTACTTACTGTTCTTATCTACTTACTTACCTACCTACCCACCAGTGAATTTAATTCTTAGGGCTACATGATGTTCAAAGACAGTTTTCTTGTTAGTTCGAGCTAATGGTTATTATTGCTTGGCCTGTTGTTTAGCTAACAAGTTTACCAAGAACACGCAACTACAACATTTAAGATCGCTATTCTGTTAGGAAATCCGGCAGAGTTGTTTGTGACAACTGTGACTAAAACTTCTGCAGAGCTAAAAGATCGAGGCAGCGAAGATTGCCAGGGTAACAGGCAACAAGACAGCGGACACCACGGCTCCAGCAGCTAAAAAAAAAGGAATAATAAAAAACTGAATTATGACCAGTGAGTATATCTGAGGATTATAAACTATTATATGGTAGGGTTCCCGAACGGTAAGTGAGTTCTTGGGTGCTTACCATTTAGCAAAAAAATCCGGAAATTTCGGTTGACAGTCAAATGGAACAGTAATTTTACGGAAAATCCGTTCGGAAATTGTAGACTACCTCCGGAGGTAGTCCTCTTTTTCCGTTCGGAACGGAACGGCGGAAATTTCCTTACCATTTGGTAAATTTTCCAGTTTCTAGTCTCTCATCAGCCGAAAACAATTACGAGAAATCGAATTGCAAATGGTAAGTGCCATCTCGTTCGGTTGGTTTGCTGATTTTGGAAAAACCCTTACCATTATACAACGGTCATCCCAACCGGTTTATTCTGACAAATGGTAAGCACTCCTTGTTCCCATGAATCTCAGCATTACTTGGGAGCAAGTGTAGAGGAAATGTTGAGACTCGAGAGAGAAAAAAATTCATTGTCCACAAGTTCTTGCTGGTTTTTATGTAGCAAAACAAAAGACTATAGCAAAACTCCAGTGCATCATAGTTAATAGAAGAGAATGATTAAGAAGCCCGGTAAACATCAAGGAAGCAAACAAACAGACTAAGATTTATGTTGGAAGGTCCTTGACCCTGCACATCTTTTGTTTTATGCTCATAGACTGAGCATGAGTTACATAATCGCACTGCTTCTATTAGTTAGTTGTATGAGCACACATAACCACCTTTTTTGTGCAGGGTCAACCCGCAAAATGGCCAAAAAAAAATATATATATACAACAAAGAACTTTGTCAGGTTTCATAACCATTCACTCTATTAACTATCAGTGCATAGTGTCTATGAAACAACATAGATTCTTTTATTCAATCTGCGACACTTTCAACCTGCGAATTTTGCGTTTTGGAATTTTTCAACACTTTGCAGAACATGCAGAAAATGGCAAAGTTTAAAAACCCGGCGTGCTCTTAGCCTTACAAAATCAGCCATGTTTTGTGCAACAATGGAAATGGTCACTGTTTCTCCCGTTAGGCCTTCCGTCCACATTATTCCGTCACGAAAACGGAGCTTTCCGAAAGCGCCCTTCAGACCGGAGGAAATTGAAAACTCCGGCTTTGCCTTGTAGTGTGGGCGGAAAACATTTTTAAAACGAAGCTTTTCAAAAACGATGAGGTTACGGTAATCATGATATTTCTCTTCTCGGGTTTTTTCTCAAACACAAATCCAGAATAACCGGTGATATTTCTCCGGCGTAATGTGGCCGGATGGGGCCTGGGTAGCAGTGTAATGTACGTTACTCTCTGACGTCACAGTCTTCGCAATAGGCCATTCCGAGATTGCGCAGTGCAGAGAACTGGGGAGAGTTTCAAATTTCAACCATTCGATAAACTGACACCACTTCATGAAAGGTCATGTTGAGATTAGTCATTTGACCAAGTTTGATGCTTTTAGGGTAAACAGAGACCAAGTTATAGACCTTGAAACATGGTTCAAAATCCACACAAACGTCTCTAATTTTGAGACAGCGTCCCTCCAAACCATATAGACTCTTAAAATTTTTTATGATCTCTGTGATACTCTTAAAAATGGGCAATCTCAGATTCTTTCAAATGAAAGGTGAATGACGGGATTTTAAAGTTCTCACAAAACTGATAAAGAATTTTAAGGGTTTATATGGTTTCGGGGGACGCTGTCTCATAATTAGAGACGTTTGTATGGCTTTTGAACCATGTTTCGAGGTCCACAACTTGGTCTCTGTTTTCCCTTAAAGCATCAAACTTGGTCAAATAACTAATCTCAACGTGATCTTTCATGTGGTGGCGTGAGTTTATCGATTGGTTAAAATTTGAAATTCGCCCCAGTTGCCACGAACTAGTCAATGAATGCGCTCGCTTGAATTGGTTAGTCTGTCGTTTGAACTCTACTGGTAAACTTGGAAAAGTAAATAGTCTTTCTCTAGTTCACTTACAGAGAACTGTTGTTGTTGTTGTTGTTGTTGTTGTTGTTGTTGTTGGTCTGCCTGAAAACATAGAATACTGCGCTTCAAATCCCCGATCAAGTGAAGAACCGGAACGGAATTTCACGAACATCTGGTTACCACTTGAGAACACTTTTTGCAAGGCTGAACCGTTACAAAATCGTCCCAGCGAAGAAGAATTTGCTGAGGAACCGTCATATAACTCCACATAGGTGCAATTATCCGAGCTGCAATTAAACTCACATGAACCAAAGGCCAATTCAATGAATACTAACTTGACAAGTTTATCAGATGGCACAGTAATGATCCAGGAACAATCTCTGGAAGCAGGATAATTGCTCATAGGGTAGTTAGGGCTGCTGAATTTTCCCCACCAGTTGAGAGGAACTGCTTCAGTTGGACAAACTGGGGAAAAAAATCAAAATATATAATTCCATCACATAACTGTAAGTATCACGGAAGGGGGTCGTAAGCCCCCAAAGAGTGAAGGACACTAACAACTCTAGTCTAGACGAATGGCGAACCCAAGGCAAGAGAGCGGGTGTAATTTAATGTCCAAAGAATCAAATTATAGCTCAAGAACAAGGTTCGACGGTTTATATGTTTTTTGAAACTAATCCAGTTATGTCTGGATTTATGAAACAGTGTTAAAGACTGCTTTCGCTATGGTAGCAGCTTGTAAATATTACCTAGCATGAAATCTAGAGAGTTTCTTGCCGCATGTTTCATTCATTTATCTATTTTTTTTAATTAGTCATCGCTACCCCCTCCCTTTTTCAATTGGTATAAGTTTAGCCCAGGCTACACTCCTCTGAATTTCAGTTCGCGCGGTGACTCTGAGAAAGAGCCGACCGATTAGCGCTCTATAACTGCTGTCTAAAGGAAGTCTGCCCGAGGACATCATTGAGGCCAGTGAAGGTAAACGTCCAACGATTTGCTAGCAAGCGTAGTCCATTATCGTACATGAGGCGGGCCTGAGATGTATCAAACGGGACGTCATTTAGCCCCGTAATAGTAAGCCGTTTGCACTGTGGCGATAATGTTGTGCTTGCTTTAGACAGCAAAGTTTTAAGAGCTTTAGCCACATCAATTTGGGGTTTAGAGCTGCAATGGACTAGATATCTCTAACTGCTGTTGGCGTTTGATGTCGCTCGATAAAATTCAAGTATATTCGGAACATTGCTATTTGCGAGCAAAATATGGCTACGAACGGAGTGAAGAACATTAGGTCAAGCGCTGATCATGAGTAGAATTTCCTTGTTTTATCAATTTTAGGCGTTCTCGGCCTGGCTAACTATCAGAACTGTCTGTGATTCGCTAATGCGGAAGAATTTATTTGTTGAGTGTTTGCTTACTCTTAATTATGGCCTAGTTTGTTTGAAGTTCAATCGTTTCTCGATGCAGGAAGCTCTTGCTCAGTCCATTTAGGACGATGCAGGTTTTAGAAAGCTGTAGATCAGATCTCGGCCGCGGTTTTGATATCTGTACGTTCGTGTTGATTCAGACTCCAATTTCATGTCGACAAGCACTTTTAATTATATTGTACAATTCACGATTCAACGAAAAGACGGTGAATTCGTTTAATCCTCCTGGCCTCAAAAGGCACACAGGAAAGTTATTTCCTTTTTATTTGAGCCACGATAAGCCTTGTGGAAAGCTAGCTCTAGGACAGAATTGTATCGATATTATCAGTGACAAGTCGAATTCTGTAGCTGTTTTTGCGAATACATACAGATATTGAAATTGAATGTCACGTAAGGCCAACTTTTTCGTTGAAATAAATGACCGATGTGAGTGCTTTCCATCCTCTTGTCGCAATGATTGGCTAATTTAACCCAAAGTAAAGACATAGTGAGGTCATTTAGGTGAGATCGCAGAGGTCAAAACATGTCTAAATTAGCGCCGCAAGTCAAATGATCAATCTAACCTTAAATTTAGCTTTGTTCGGCTCGTTCGACTCATTTGCAGTGACTTCAACGGCTGGTACAAGCATGTTATGGCTTCCTTTAAGTGTACACGAGGCACATAACGTTCTCAGTACGACATGGACATATTTATGTACGGTATCTGACCGATTTTCCAAAAACATGCTAGCTATTTTGGTCCAAACTCTTAACACGGTTTTCATAAATGCAGTCACATTATTTTAGTATTAATCTACTAATCCTTCAAAACATTATCTAATTCTTCTTCACAGACACTTCGAAAACGCAAAGAAGCGGCCGCCATTTTGTTAACAACCGCACACTGCTAGGCTTCTTACTGTCTTCAACAGAACATGTGGTGAGTAGCGTAATTATAAAGAGAACGGCTTTCGTGAGAGAACGTTAGCAGATTAATACTAAAAGTCGATAGAAAAGAAAACAAGCTGCCTCGTGCCCAGGCGCTGCTGCATTTCATTGGTGACCGGTAGCGGGGTGCTTGATGGTTAGGTCACAACAGGCCCATCTCTTTTTCTCGCAGTGTTTTCTAACCCGGTCCTCACTAGCGACGCAAGCATAAGCACAAGCATAAGAAGCTTATGCGCTAGTGAGGACGGCCACGACAAAAGCATAAGCATAAGCATAAGCATAAGCATAAGCATAAGAATATCAAAACCTTGCGTTCTTCTTATGCTTATGCTTATGCTTGAGTCGTTCATTGTGT